TTTCTGTGAGACAGCATGGTGTCTGGTGTGATCAGTACTTTGACACAGCTAGTATGTGCAAACCTTCAGTCACAATGACATTTGACTAAATGCTAGCACAACCACAACAGCTACTCACTTTTTCTCACATGACTTGCATCAATCTGTGGTATGGTTTGAAGGCATTTCCTTGTGGTATACCATCTTCCAGGTTGATATTAACAAGAAATTATTGATTGAGTTGGTGGGATTTGAATTTAGTCTTATGATTGGAATGCTAACACTGTAACTACTCTGCCATTGTTGCAATATAAGTTATATATATTTACTAGTTTACACATGACAAATAACAGCTTATTTTGTGGAATCTTTATTATGTTATTTTTTTTTTAATTATTATTTCACATCTCAACTAAGTAAACCTCTTGGTACAGTCTGCTTTTGTCATAATGAATATAATACCACCTGGTATTGTCATTGCAAGGAAGATAACTGCTACAACAAAAAGTTAGACATTACAGACAAAAAAAATATAAATACACTTGGTGTTTTAAATGTGTGTTTTTAGGGTAGGCTTGTTCTTACTCTTAAATGTAATAAAATGTTAAATATCTCTCATAACAAATTACACAGTACTTATAGGATTTTTTTTATTTGATAGAAAAACTTTACAAAAAATATAGTTCAAACAAACATTGAATTTATATAGACACACAACAAAGACAGATGACACGAGCCAAGTTTAAAAGACAGACAATAAATGTATTGTTAACACACAAAAATGAATGAATTTCACAAATTAAGTGCATTGTGTGCCAAGATGATGGCCAGTAACATGTATGTAAATTATCAATGAAAATAAAATGTGCTTTTTTACAATAAAAATTATAATGCTGCATAAGGCCATCCGAAAAGGAAAAAATATTTCTTTGAATAGTTTTCAAAGAATTGGTACAAATTTTAAAGCAAAGTTTGTAGTAATAGTGAAGAATAGAACAATTACACCAACCAAAGACCTTTCTTTGATGTGGGAGCAACTGTGATGTTCCTTTCAAATCTCGTCTGGTGGTTGTCAAATTTCTTCTAGTGTTTTTCTTTCTGGACCAAGGTGACCTGGGTTCCAGCAGCAGTTCTTCGTTGACTCTGAAAATGAACTCCAAGGCCCCCCCCTTAAATAACCTGCAGGTAGGCTCCAAATTCACATCTCAAAATTTGGAGGGAATACCTTTTTATTGGTTTTAGATGAAAAAAAAAAAAAAAAAAGACAAATGCAGCTGTTTTCCCACAAACTGAAATGTAGCAAAAATATTTTTGAAATTCAAAAATTAAGCAAGAGCCCATTGCAGCGTCTGCTTTCTCTCTGAAAAGCAGATGATACACGCTCAATCAGCTTAAATTTCTTATATCAATTAACTGCATTCCGTAGAACAATTACTTCACTACTTATTTCAATGTAAAACCAATCTTAGTTGGCAATAATATAAATGACAGATGCCTGTAAAAGGTACTGTTGATTAATTATGGCTAATAATGCACAATCTACTGTTGGCGTCATATGGCAATAATTGCAAGAAAAATGATGCACTAAAATACTTCACTAATTGTTTTAAGTTTCTCTGAATATTGATGCTAATACTTTCTTTTATCTAGTGCAAAATCAAAGGTTAAAACATGAATATAAAACTGCATGAAGAAATTAAAATTTTTAAGAGGACAAAAAAAAATGGACGAACAGTGTCTAACATTTGAATGGGTCCTTATTATAAACTAGCTTTTTGAATTTACTTCACACCGATTAACAATTATTGATTTCTGGAGACATTACCAATTCTTATTGGTTTGGTTACCATGTTCTATTTAGTTTCTTCCTCCATCTCACTGTAAATAAGTCATCTTTTTTTTTTTTAATATTTACTTCATACAATTATTTACACATATTCTAATATAATTTTTTTTTTTTGTAAATTATAAGGGAGATAACTCTACTACAGCAAATTTAGACATTATGTAAAACAAATTTATTGGTGTATGAGCTTTGTAGGAAAATAGAAAAAAACTTTTACCCATTATAACACATAACCAAAAAATACGAGAATAGTATATAAAGGCTGATAGAGGTGATAAACTCTCATTTTTCTATGCCTGATGGAGAAGAGTGCACACAGGTCAAGGATCTTCCTGACTTATTCCTCATTTTTTTTCTTACAAAGAAAAAATCCCAAGAGTTTTCAATTTATACTTAATTAAAAATTACTCAGCAACCAATGATGCAATCTAGGGCATCATAATGGTATTGCACTAATAAAAGTATGCTTTGATATACCATTTTCCTATGCTGCAGTAATATACACATAAAAACCAGATAATAATAATAACATGGAGGAACCATCTGGATTTAGGGATAAAATATCAAAGCTTTCAGTTATTTATATTACTTAGCTTTTTCTTTTTCTCGTTATTAAAATTTATAGTCTAAAACTTTACAAGCAGGTGCAATATGGTTGGCCCTACCCTGGCGTCTCGTCTACAGTCACTTTCTCACAGACGCACCGTCGCCTCCCTCTGTCTGTTCTACAAATACTTTCATGGAAATTGCTCCGAGGAACTGCATTCGCTGGTTCCCAAACTTCATGAGTTCAAGCGCCCTACGAGGCTGGCATCCCGCTCTCACCCCTTCACTGTCGAAACTCCTAAATGTAGCTATCTCTTCTACTCTAATAGCTTCGTGTCTCGCACCTCTCGCCTGTGGAACTCTCTTCCCTTCTCCTGTTTCCCTGAGAGTTATAATCTCCAGCTATTCAAGTGTAATGTCAATCGACATCTCCAGTTGCCTTAATCTATCTACTACCCTCATCCTTTCTTCTATCACTCCTATCTGATCTTCCTATTTTCTGTAACCCCTTGCGTCCTAGTGGCTTCCCGCCTTGCTTGGGGTGAAATGCTTTAAAAAAAAAAAAAAAAAAGGACCCATGAAAATTTCATAATTTTTTGGTCTTTTAAAGAATAAAACGGTTGTGAACAATTATATAGAAGTAAACAAGTCACAGTGGTTTGCATCTGATGTAAAGGAAAATAGTAACTTCCTTACCTTAAATAACAATAACATTTTGTTACCTTGAAAATGGCATGAATCTTCCCCAGCCTATATAGAAGTGTATGATTCTGAAACTTTGACTTTTATACAGCTTAGCATGGTTCAACCAATAGCAATCCACCTGCTGATTGGTCAGACTGGAGGATGACATTTGACTGTATGACTGAAGACAATGCCAAGAACACTGATTAGTCAGTTGGCCGTGGTTTTGGCATAATAAAAAGGGCTGGAGCAGTGAGAAGAGGGGAGCAATATTTAGGTTGATGACGCATACACAAATTTGAAAATCCGTCTATATTTCTGAGATGAGGTATTATATACACTATTTACATTATTCGGACTATTGTCCTCATCTTTGTCGCCATATTTATTACAATGTTTTGGCTGTTGTACACTCCGGCCTTCTTCAGGTGGTTGGAATGTCGAACTGAACCCTTTATTTCACTCACTGGGGTAGACTGTTCTAGTTCCATGTGCCATGTTTAATGGATGTCAGTTATCAGTTATCTCCTGTTAATTTCCCTCTGAAAGTTCTCCACTTCATTAACCGGGTATTGAACTCACACTCTTTGGGTCCTGTCACTGGTTCTAACTAACACTTTTATCCACTGTGCCATGTGTCAGGCCGGAGCGTACAATGGCCAAAACATTGTAATAAATATGGCGACAAAGATGAAGACAATAGTCCAAATAATGTAAAGAGTGTAAATTTGAGAATGTTGTCTTCAGAAGGAGCATTTGGTGTTGTACAAGCGGCATCTGAGGAATAGAACCTCATTTACCTACAGAAATTACTACAAACGTTTTATAACAAAAACATTATTTATATATGATGGCTCCTCCCTTCATCTTCAATGTGTGAGGGTTCAACAGTCCAGTTCTGAACAGGCAGGCTATCCTGGACATGAAATTTTTATTATAGTAGTGAAGGCTTGTGCAGAACCAACTACACTTTTTGGAAGAACTGAATACAGAGAACTGATGCACAGAGTGTGCTACATGGTTTCCAACTGTCCTCAGTGTTTGGATTCAGAGTTGTCCTTCTCCTAGATTGGTTGCTAACCAAAACTAAAGAACCCAGTCTACCCTATTATTTAAGCCATAGCGAGAGGAGGATTCAAAAAAATGTATTCATACCTTTCTCAAAATGTAATAAACTCAACTGAAATTAAAACTCAGGTCTCCAATTTCCCATTGCAAGCCCATTACACCACATATATCTATCTATCTATCTATCTATCTATCTATCTATCTATCTATGTCAGACTGACCATTACCTGTCTATCTCAGTCTGGTCGTTATCGTTATCGATCTGTCTATCTCAGTCTGGTCGTTATCGATCTGTCTATCTCAGTCTGGTCGTTATCGATCTGTCTATCTCAGTCTGGTCGTTATCGATCTGTCTATCTCAGTCTGGTCGTTATCGATCTGTCTATCTCAGTCTGGTCGTTATCGATCTGTCTATCTCAGTCTGGTCAGTTATCGATCTGTCTATCTCAGTCTGGTCGTTATCGATCTGTCTATCTCAGTCTGGTCGTTATCGATCTGTCTATCTCAGTCTGGTCGTTATCGATCTGTCTATCTCAGTCTGGTCGTTATCGATCTGTCTATCTCAGTCTGGTCGATCTGTCTATCGATCTGTCTATCTCAGTCTGGTCTATCTTATCTGGATCTGTCTATCTCAGTCTGGTCGTTATCGATCTGTCTATCTCAGTCTGGTCGTTATCGATCTGTCTATCTCAGTCTGGTCGTTATCGATCTGTCTATCTCAGTCTGGTCGTTATCGATCTGTCTATCTCAGTCTCTTTCCATATCAATCTGTGTGTGTGTGTGTCTGTTTGTGTGTGGTCAAGTGGTTAGAATGTTTGCTTTCTGATCATTTTGCCCCTGGTTCAAATTTTGCAATGATTGACTTACAGCCTCCTCACATTGAAACATTGGTTCCCATATGATCACCAAAGTTGAGCAACATTGAATGCAGTCAGTACCTTGATGGGTGACCACTTGGGAATAGCAGGTGCTGTAAGCTTGGATGTGCAGGTGGTTTAAAAGATAATGGCTTGAAATTGTTAATCAGAGATTTAAGTTTCAATTCCCATTGGATTCGTTATATTCACTTATGCACAAATAACTTCAGGAAATTTATGAACCCACCTCTTCTCTCCCCAGCTATGTGTTAATTCGTAAGACTTATATCACTAAATCATTATTATCTCAAAAAAAATATTCTTTCAATCTAAAAATATTATCTGGCTTTAAATAAAAAGTTGATAAACCATAGAAAATGAATGAATCAATCAATCAACCAATAAAATACTGATAATCTTCACAGGCATGTCTTTTAGATCTAAATACATTCTCTGGAATATAAATTATAGAAACTACCATGGCCACAAAATGATGGATCAATTTCTATATTGATTGTAATACAAAATTGATCCTCCACTTTATATCCACACTATAACTTCTTGTTTGTTTATCAAATTCTGATTAGGTATGAATCCATCTTCTGCCCCCAGCTGTGGGTTAATTAGCAAGACTTGTATCACTAAACCATCATCATCAAAAAAGAAAATTTCTTTCAATCTAAAAATATTTTCTGGCTTTAAATAGCCTACAGATGTTTGATATGCTATAGAAAATCAATGAATCAATCAATTAATTACTATGGCTGATTAGTCAGGAAATTAACTTCTTTATAATATTGGTCTGTGGGAAATGATCCCAGCATGTGGCACCTTTGAAAAGTGTCTGAAACCCGTACCACATGTTAATCTAAGCCTTGTGAATGAAATTAGATAGGTGGAACTGTTTGAAAGCTATTAATGAATGTGCTAGCACAAAGGCAGAAGTCATCATGGCAGAGTTAAAAAAAAATAAATAAATAAATAAATAAATCTGATCACACCACATTATGTGTTCTCTCACAGAAACTGTAACTAAAGTCTGCTCAGCATAGTTGCAGTATAAACCACAGGTGGTTTCCGTGGGTTGACGAAGCATCTGTAATAGGGTTTGGCTTACCACCCTGACAGGTGTATGGAATAATTAGTTGCCAGCCATAACTTTAATGTCACTTCTGCACCATTTGAAACGTTTCTAATTTATTTCTAAATGTTTATACAGTAAAATAGTGACTATACAGTAGAATAATTTACTGAACAGTAGACGTACCAAAGAAAGTTGAAAATCATTTTTATATTTTGTACATTACTTTGGTTTGCATACTGTAAATACAGGACAAGTAAATTTTTATTTATTTTAAAGAAAAGAATAACAATTACAATCAAAGTTTTTATATGACGTACAATGCTGACTGGTTGGATTAAAAAAAAAAAATAGAAAGAAAAAGAAAAATTCATTTCATGAGATTTTATAGGAGGCCATATGTTCAGAGCAGGTTTGTTAAACAAGTCATTAAGTGAATGGCTGTATTTGGTTTCCAAACAACCAAAACCAGATAAGAGTAAAAATTTAGCCTAAGCATAATCTTATTATACTATGTACAGGATTATTAAAAAAAGAAAGATCTGATTTAGAAAATTTAATATAAACAAATGCTGAGAGACAGAAATACATTCAACATGTTTCTTGATCAGAAAAGGTTCAAAGTTATCAAAATAAATAGAACTTTTTCAATTTTGTTTAAATGCTTCTTTAGTTGTTTTTTTTTTGTTTTTTTTTCAGATTTTGTATACATTTATATTGTTATAATTTGTGTCAACCCTCAAAATAGCTGTATGTTGTATAACAGTAAGTGTTGTTACCAACACTTTGGTTTGAAACTAGATCACCAGTGAGTAACATGGGTGATTCCATTATTAAGTAGATCACGTGATCATAAAGGTAGTAAATAAATAGGAAGTAGTGTGTCGACTATATGATCACTGTTCACTCTTCTTGTCTATCCACTTTTGCTATACATTCACTTTCTCTGCTACTATACAGATTATGATTCTCTTCTGAGCATTATACTATTTGGCAATTACTACTTGAACAAGTATTACTAGTGTGGATAATATTGGAAGGTGTTACTACTAGTACAGTCGTCTATGGAGTCTTGAATACATTTTTGGAAGTGATAACTAGCTTTTGCTTGACATAGCAAAAGTGGCAAGCAAAGCCGTTCAACATCACAAAAGTGGTGATTCACAAGGAATCACAAAACCATGCCACAAGATAAGTCATTTTGGATAGTGCAATTTGCAAAGTGTAACCTTAAAATAATAAACTCTGAACCTTTTCCTATCCATTAATGTAGTGGATATGTTTATGTCTGTTAGCATTTGTGTTTTTATATATATATATATATATATATATATATATATACACACACACAAGTTTAATTAAAAAATGTTTGTCTGTTTAATTCTTTATTATAATTTTCCTGTTTTCGGATGAACTTTGGACAGTTTGTCTACATCTTAGTGCACAATATTCAATGCTTTACCCAAAAATTGCAAAAATATAATAAAAAAAATTTAACAGATCTTGTTGGTTCTTTTTAATCAAACTTGTTTGGATGAATACTTTCTGTCTAAATATACAGATATATACACACACACACACATATATATATATATATATATATATATATATATATATATATATATATATAGAGAGAGAGAGATAAGTTCTGTAGTAGCTAGTTCAAAATTGAATTTGAATTGCCTTAAAATTGGTAAAATTAAATAGATAGATTCAATCTTAAAAGTGTTAAATGCTGATCAGGCCACGTGTATTTCATGTAATTTGAACAAATTAAAGTACTTTGTTTAATGTGAAGACATAATATTGTCTCTCCCTGCACTGCAAAATTGTTTTGGTAAAAGCCATATGTATTGGCATATGTTGTTAACTTAAGGTCCTCAGTGAAAAATTATATTAGACATTTGAGACTTTCTTTTGTCGGATTATTAGGTTTTGTCATCTCTTAGAGGGGAGAATGAAAAAAGCTTTTTTAGCCTATAGCATCCACTCCCATGGTTAACAGACACGTGACACACAGACACACTCACACCAAAAAATAAGAAACCTAATTTGTCAGTTGAAAATAGAAATAACTTTAAGAGAGTATAATGTACTAATACCCATTTTATATTGCACTTGTGGGTATAAGTGGTAGACTTGGTAATATTTAGTACTTGGTTTTATACACCAATCAATGCTCATGTATCAATGTTAAATGAAACTGATAGATTTCATCATTCCTAGTTTTAAAAAGAATCTTTAAATTTTTAAATTAAATGGGGGAAACTGCAGTCAAAATATACATTTTTAACTGGCCTTCTTTCTGCACTTGATATGAAGATGACTCTGAAGGTATAAAAAGGAGTTATTTATTTCTGTTTCCTGGATAAGGGCAGAGGTCACTAAAAGTATTAGTTTAATTTTTTTCAGATGAAAGCAAGAATGACAATCCAAGTAGTCAAATACCAGCTTGATGAAATAAAAATGGCCTATGGTTGAGGCTGGTTTAATCATGTAAATGCATTTCCAAAAAAAGGTTTGATCAGAGAAGAATCCTATTCCATAGCTTTTGTTCTGGCCAGAGAGGATTCCTTGGTCATGAGCCTCATTCTGATCAGAGAGACTGTCATAGCTCTTATTGTGGTTGGAGAAGATTCCTTTGCCACAGCTCTCATTTTGGCCAGAGGGGATTCCTTCTTCATGGCTTTAGTTATGACCAGGGAGGGTGATTCCTTTGTCATGCCTCTCTTTGTGGCTGGAGAAGATTCCTCTTTTAGGTCTCTCCTTCTGATCAGAGAGGATGATGTATTTTAAATCATGATTAGATTAATTTCTATAGCACATGGCAAATTTGATTTTAGAAGTCATTAGAAGGCAAAATGTCATTTGTCTTATAATTTTTACAGTTTTTATTCAGTTTGTTTTTATTTCTATTTTATAATTTGTTTGCCTTTGTTTAACTTGATGATCTCTTATTCCATTAAGTTATTTGAATTTTTTCAATCTTGGAAACATTTGTTAAATTTCCAAACATGTGGGAGCAAGAAAGTCATATTCTTTGGTGTATTGTTTTCTTAAACAGATCCTGGAAACTTTCAAAGTTAATCTGTACAAACTCCCAGCTAACCCAGTTTAGTATTCCACTTATGACCCGTTTCTCATCAATCAACTGTTGTGATGTGAACTGATACTTAAAATTTTTTTAAATGTACTATTTATTCATCCATATATTTATATCTATGTATGCAAAACTTCTTTTCTTACATTATTGAAATTATACCTTTTTACTTAAAATTGAATCTGTGCATTTGATATAATTACATATGCCCATGTGTTTATGAGAGAATTTACTCCTTCTTCCTGTACAAATCTACATTATTGAAGCACCAAATGACATACAATTCACTTGCAATATTAACTTGTTAGCCAATGCTTTGTGCATTTGGGGTGGGGTGAATGTATGTAATATTTCATAAAAGTTTTGTTTTGAAATCACCAGCTGTTTCTTCCAAGAAAGCTTTCATCAGATGATGACCCTGGGTTCAGGCATGAATGTGGGGCGGAAAGTTCATTACTACCACTCCAAGATATCCCAGTGATACCTCTTGATATAACCAGATTCTTTCTCCCAGTGGGAATGCTAGCACCATTATATATATTATATATTTCCCCTTGTATTCTTGCAGACTTTCATACTTTTTCATTTTATAGCTATACTAGCAGTAGAGCCCGGCGTTGCCCGGGGATGTAACGGTAAGAGATAGATCAAGTATCGACCATCATAAAGACTGAAAAATAAAATTGCCAAAGATTATTGTTTAAGGTTGACCGACATGCATGTCTTAATTAGTTTTTTTTTTACGAATTGGTCAAACTGAAACAAAAACATTGTTTTCAATCGTTATGAGTCTACCGATTGAATAGAATTTTATTATAAACAATTGTCTTGTAAATGGAATTTTTAAAGCATTCTGAATGTAAAAATAAAGAAAAAAGTGTGCAAGACAATAAGAAACACTACCTGCCAAAAAAAAGTGAAGTTTTGTTGAAATCAGTT